TATTTTGGGTCATACTATTCACCATTTCATTTTGTGACACTTTTTTTTTAACACCCTGTATGTATTTTATTCGAAACATTTTTTCATTATCTTCATTGCAAACGAAAACACTGAAAACATTTTTACTACCAAAAAAGTATACTTGTCATTATGACAGCATCTGTAGAAAATTTTATTTATTTTACGCCTTTTTTGGGTCATTCTTTACTTCCCCACTGAATTCAAGATCAACTAAATTTATAAATTTTCCACAAACATTTTATTCGATTTTTATTTTTCATATAATATCTTTATTATCAACGAAAATATTAATGTAATTGAAGAAAAACGACCCTCTATAAAGTACCCCTCAGATGCTCCGACTGCCCAAAATCTAATCAGCAGGTTTGATTAAAACTTATCAAATTTGGTGTTTTTCTTACACTAAAGTCTTTTCTAAATAGCTTTTTATTAATTTTGTATCGACAACCCAAATTTTGTTATTTTTTTTTTTTTAGTACATCATGATTTACATGATTAAATGCTTTTTGGAAATCTGTAAAAAATGTGTCCATTTGAGATTAACTCCTAAATTTTATAATGGTTCATTTCCGAAAATGAACAAATGAGTATTTATGTATTTATTAGATTTAATTTTCAGAGATACTAGATAAACTCAAAATTTTTAAAATTGCAGTTAAATATTCGGGAATTAGAAAATATGGAGAAATTATGCATATTTATATTATTTATATCAACAGTGATTGCATGCAACTAACTGAGAAACGTTATTATTTGATAGCATGCATGTTTATAATCATCAAATTGCAATAATAATCAACGAAAATTGAGACTAACGTTTATATATTTATTAGAGAGTTGAAGTGATGCTATGAACATAACCGTATACGTGAAAATTGACATGCGTATACAAATTCCTCTTCATATTCAGGTCTTCGTACTTACTTTGATTTTCTCTTACTATACGGAGAATGGTCGCACTGCGCAGCTTTCTGAGTGCGTTTAAAAAATAGATAGAAAACTCCGCCATTTTGATGCCTACATCTTGGCGCAATATTTTTAATATTTTGCTTGCTGCTGTCAGTGTCACAGAATATTATTTTTGGAGTCACAGTTTATTGCTAAAGAATCAATTAGCTCACTCGGACCAGTTGAAAGTTCTAAAATAACATCCACTCAAGGGATACAAATTTAGGATGCGCAGAAGACTGCTGTTTTATTATAGGCGGTTGTCATATATTGTATTGTCCGAGTTGCGCCATGTATAAACTGGAACATTGAGATCAAAAGTGCCGACGTAGCGGGTGAACTGATTCTTTAGCAATAAACTGTGGTAAAGGCATCAAAATGGCCGCGCCCTAAATTGGGCGTGTCGGACCTCTCTCTTGCACCGTATAGTAATCAAAGTATGTGACGTAATCTCTTTTTAATTGGGAAAGAAGAAATCCCATAGACATCATATTATCTAAGATAGACTCGCCCTACACACTGTATACCCAATACACCTTCTGTCCGCATGTTTTACCAGACGGGGAAAGGGGAATCGTACGTCGCACATTGACGTAGTATTTCGGGAGGGTTTACATATATTTTTAGTAAAAATTATTTAATGACCAAATCAATAACCTATGGGTCTTCGGAATCAAAGGTAAATTTAAAGAAAACATATTCAATTTATACAGGGCATTCAAAAAGTCATTTTATATATTTTCTTATAGATTAAAATAGTAGGTAGCTCAAAGTGGAAGAACATTTTTGTTTGTATTTTATTATATATATATTTTTTAAATACATGAAGAGCAAAGAGCAAGTAAAAATATAAAGCCATTTAATATTATTTTTACATGGGTACTGTTTGAAAACCTTTTGTACAGGTCGAAAAAAGAATAATTATGTTGCAGGACTACCTTTTTTTATGAAATAAAAAGCTATTAAAAACAGAACAATTTTATTTCAGATACATAAATATACAACTATGATCTTTTTATTACATACCAATTGGGTTGCATGTCACGACACCTACTTTTAGAATTATTTGTGTAATGATATAATAACTCATTTAGGACAGTAATCAGCAATGATTTTATAATATCTGGACAAGGCCAAAACACAGTAGCTTAAGATTATCAAGAGATACTTTATTTCTAATTTGTCCGAATAGAAAAAACACTAAGGGAAGCTTCTTTTGTGACATTTCGAATGTCATTTTACTATCAATGGTTACTCCTACAAACACTCTTGGAGCGCGTTCAGGAAACACGCTCCGACCAAAAAGAGCGCGATCAATTTGGTCTTGGTTCGTTCAAGAACAGTCGAGCGTTCAATTTGAACGTTTAGCTACTCTCGTTCAGAAAGTCGAGTCAAATTAGTCTGGAGTGGACTCTTTTTTACCCAGTTTAGACTGGGTACATTTGAGTACATTTAACAGAACATAGAGTTCTTTTGTAGAAGTTGCTGTTTCATATTAGTTTTGTGTCATAAAGGTGTTTGTACATGGCATTTTATAAGGTTAAGTTTGTTTTAAAATAAACAATCTAAAATTTCTTGTCTTATTGACTTTATAGATCATTCATTATAATCTCGATTGTAAATAGGGCTGTAAATAGGTAAATATTGAAATAAAAAGAAAAAAAAACAACTAAACAAAAATAAATAATTAAACAATAAAAACTATACGAAACACGAGTAACAACGAGAAGCGATGAACATCAAACATTATATAAGGGAATAAAATATCTGTAAAGAAATAACTGTAAAAAACTTTAATTTTCAAATTCGTTGACGTTTACTTTCGTCGCCGTTCAGAAATGTTGGGCCAATGAGAATTACTCTAGAGTAGTCTGGACAAACGATCTAAGAAAATTAGTCTACTCCCGTGTAAAATCATCTGAACGCGCTCTTGGTGAAGAATCTGCTCAATAGATTTATTTAGTGTTATAAGATAACTGATATTTTGTAAAGCATATTTTGGAATAAAAGACAAAATAGCTATTTGTGTATTAAGAACAGAAAGTAGCACCTTTGACAGTTGAGACAGAAATTCTGTCGAAGAGAAAAGATTTATTTTATATTTATTCAAAAAGGAGGAAAAATACAATATCAGAACTGTTATCTCAGTTATGTAATCATCATTTTCAGTATTTGTGTTTTTCCAACTGACCATAGCAACTGACCATTATTTTGTTACTGAGATGAAAAACCGTACGAGTCGCAGATATGTACGGTTTTTCACCTAATTTCACGGGTATAATCAGCTGTACTACCTTAACAGCTAGGTATCTAGTACGGTTTTTAAGCTCAATCGATGAAGAGACAAATTTTAAACGAAATGGCTTATTTTGAAATGTCAAATTTGAGACTTGTACGGTTTTCGAACTCACTGGTTCAATTGCAGAACACTGTTTGCAGTGAATCTTGTTCTTTAAGGATTTTACTATAAAACCAGAAATATAAGCAACTACATCCTGAATGTATTCGCTCAGAAAATATATAGATAGGTAATCATGGTCATGAAGCTCATTTGTAAATTCCAAATTTTCTTTAGTCTGATTCGTAACATTTTAAATTTAACGCAATTTGGCTACTAGTGTTGCTACAATCCAAGATGCTGGTGCCATCTAAAGCAATTGCATTGGCAGTTTTATTTTACTTTACTTCATTATGAATTAATAATTTTTTATAACAATTTTGAAACAATCTCCATGTGAGATTGTTATTGAAGCATCTGTTACGAACTGCATTAAAAAAAAGTATTTTTTTCTTCTTCATTTTTCGCCTCTTCAACTACCTCTCCCAAAATTCTGTAAAATGTGATGATTACTGTATAATTTTAGAGCTTACATATAATAAAAATACCCATAATACTTAAATACTGTACTTACTTGATAGGTATAGCATTATGTTTTAAGATGTGTTATATGTGTTATACATTTTCATAAATATCTGCCATACAAAAATGGCCAGAACATAATATTTAGTATATACTAAGGCTTCTATCATTTTCATAATGTTTTCCAAGCATAGATTTTGCAGCCAAATTCTACGTTGAATAATTTCTCTAGGAAACCTGATCAGAAAATATAGAACATTATTATTTAAATAAACAATGCTAGTGCTAAATGCCTTTACACTGTTAAATCAATTAAGCCTTATTCCCTGTATAAGCCTACGTCTATGCTAACATAATCTTATTTATAAAATGACCGAATAACATTTTTATTCTACGTATTTCGGCACACTATACATTTCCTCCCCATCGTAAAAGTCCTTAATAAAAAGTTCAGGTTTTAAATTATTCTTGAAAACTACAAAAAATCACAAAAATCACAATTTAACTTGATCTGTCACTTTGACAACATCAGCAAAATGTTTTAGGTTGCCAAAGTTAAATGATTTATACCAAAATGTTTAATATTCCCATATGATACACATGTAAAAATAGCTACTTAAAAGTCTTAAGTGATTGCAATTAATAAAAAACTTATATCGATGCTTTCAATTCTTTATTTCCTTTTTTTATTAGATTGTATTAAAGGTAATAGTAACTTTTTAAATAAAAATTTAATGTTTGATATTTGATGAAAGATCTGACAACATAGGAAGAGCGTACCGTCAAAAAAAAGTTGCGGACAAGTGTGATGTATACAAGGCGTATCTATTATCCGATATCTTTGAGAAATCCTAATAATAATTGTCATTAGCTGTCATGGCACGTAAATGTCACGATGCGTTTAAAAAATAATATTTTCGACTTCAATGTTGACGTTTACGTTAACTTACTGGAAACACTTCAACTCTCTATTATTGTTATTTTTATTACTTTGTTGAACATTATGAAAGTTAGGAGAAAACTCTTACAATGTATGTTTGTACTGAATCCAACCCTGAAAAAAGTACTGTCAGTTTATAACAGAACTATAAACTATTGTATTATTATAATCGTTTACAGATTAACATTATTTACATTTCTAATGTACATTTACTATATTTTATTCATTTAGATAATCAAAATGAAGTGTGCCGCAATCATCCTTTTCTGCGCGTGCACTGTTTGGGCTGCACCAACTGAAGAGAATAGTGTTCAACTATTAGCAGTTGCTAATAGACAGTTTGCTGCTGGAGTATACAAGGTAATATAATTACTTATTTAATATTATTAACCATAATACGTTAAGCACCAAAAAATGTCCACTGTATCTTCTCAGTCAAGCATATTTTCTATTAGAATGCATCCCGTGCGTCGGCGGTCACCGGTGACCGCCAAGATTGCTATAGCAAATATAGAGGGTGCGAAAAACGATTTAAGATTAATAGATTATTCAAAGGCTTTCGATACAATTAACCACCAGAACTTGCTGGTCATCTTAAAATACTTAGGATTTTCAGATAATGCTGTAAAATATATAAAAAAATTATTTAGATGCTAAAATGTAGATCAAAAATTAAAAGTATTCATTTTGGAGTACCACAGGGATCTATTTTAGGGCCAATATTGATATGCAATATTTATAGTATTTTAAAATGTTGTAAATCATATATGTAGGTATGCAGATGACACACAGCTCAAGTATTCATTTTAGAGATGTGACGTACTACGTGCCAATGAACTAATTAATCAAAATTTGACCAATCTGTCAATTGGGTCCAAATACCGCTTTCTATAAATTAATCCTTTTAAAACATGCAGGTCAAGTTGAAAGTGAAAAGAAAGTAAATATAGAACAGACAGTATTGCCATTTGCTAGAGTTGCCAGAAACATAGATTTAGAGATTGATAATAAATTAAGATTCAAGCCACACGTATCAAAATTTATCCAAAAGGCCTACGTCAATTTAAAGATGTTATTCCTTCATAGAAATGTTTTATTTACATCCACTAAAATTCTGCTTTATGATTCTTTAATTCTTAGTAATTATATTTACTGTGATAGCGTATATGTTTAGAAATTACTACAAAAATCGTATCCAAAGAGTACAAAGATCATGTCTGCGTTTTATTTATAGAATAAGAAAATTTGATAGAGTAATTCACAAATTAAGCGATGCAAAATGGTTGGATATGACATGTAGAAGAAGACTTCATATGGCTACTCTTTTTCACAAAATAATTTTATTTAAGTCGCCTGCATATTTGTTTAATAATGTTGGATATCGCTCATATATTCACAATACAAATATACGTTCACTCGGTAAAATATCTCCACTACCTCATCGCGCTTCGATATTCCAAAGATTTTTTACTTACATGATATACAGTGTGGAAACCACTTATGGAATAAAATTCTTTATGTCATTATTTTAGAAAATTATAAAAAATGCCGAGACATGTCAACTTTTGAATTGAGTTGTGCGTTATGTAAACATAAATTTAAATGTACAGGGTGATTCACGCAAGTATGCCATAGTCGGTGTTGTTTTTTTTTTAATGGAACACCCTGTATATTTGCATACATACATTATTCAGTTTGTTGGAATCGGTTCATTAAGAGGATTTCAAAAATATGCAAATTTGATGAAGGTGTTTTTGTGGCTAGGGGCGAAATAGTAGTACGCTTAATAGCACCACCATAAAAAGTCATTTTTAAGAAACTGCTTATATATTTTTTATAAATTGGTAGACTTGGCGACTAATTTCGAATGAAAATAACCTCCAAAATGGGTATATGGTTGCAAGTATGAAGGTCGCAACCCGCCTTAGAAATTTCAGCTTTACTATCAACAGCTGTTGTTTGACAGGTTGTTAGAGAATGTTTGCTATTTATGGAATGTGAAGAATGTTAGGAATTTTGACGTTAGAAATAATTGAAATTCCTAAAATTGTTCACATAATTAATGCATAGGCGGATTTTAAGAAAATTGTTATTAAAGTAGTTAGGATGAACAGAAATTTCTGAAAATCAATAGGGTTTTAAGTTAGAAGTAATTATTCAAGAAAATCAAAACTGCAAGTCAATCAGAACTTTCGTTCTAGAGTTATCGTGCTGGCATACATACATATAGACGACCAGACGAAAAATTTTTTTTGGATTTTCGGATTCAAACTGATCAGAAACATGAAAAAAAGTTTTAAAAAGTGGGGGTCAGAAAATTTATTCGTCTGCACGAATGCAATACTGAGGCTCTATAGGAAGGGCCTCAGTAATTTACTAATATATATATATATATATATATATATATATATATATATATATATATATATATATATATATATATATTTTTCTCTCCGAATAAATAATTTTATAATTATTAAATATTGGATATAGTGGTTTAAAGGTTGATTGTAAACGCTTGTTAATATTTATTATGTTTTTTGTCTAGGGCTGGCACTTAGAATCAGTGTTACTGTATGCCAGCTCTATTTTGCAATGTTACATAAAGTGTTTTTTTACAATTGTATTTTTTTTCATATTCTGTGTAAGCTGCAAATAAATGAATATATTATTATGACCAGCAAAGAATTTTAAATGTCGGTGCGACATGTCTGCTAATTTATATCATTCTTGTTATAAGTTAGGCACCCATAATATTATTTCTTTAGTTACCACAGAAGTAAACAATTAGAGAAAAACTTTGCAACCAAATGGTTAGCTCAAAATGTCATATCTCGCAGAAATTAAAATATTAACCATTATTTAAGTATTTCGACTTTAGATATTTCAATCGTCCAGTAATACTAATTACAATTACCTACTATTTTTGTTAGCAAATTATATGTACAAAACATTTTTATAAAATATCTGTTTTAAATTATTTATAATAATTATTATAATGTTGCATTTGCAATATAATAAAGGGTTAAATTGCAATAAATGTTACACGCAATGTGCACATCTTCAAATAGAGAGAACAGTCGCAATACAATAAACATAAGTAAAATTATTTTCTTAGTTATTTAATATACTGACGACAGTATACTAGAATAAATAATCTCAAGGCACGGTTCTGGGTCCAATATAATTTACGGTATAAAATATTTTTTCTCGAACGAGAAGGTTAAACCATTATAGATGATACTGTAGTTTTTTACAAAAATTTTGACTAGCTTTTATTAAAAGAACAAGTAGAAGGCGACTTAATAAGACTAATAAAATGATTTGACCACAGAGCTTAAATCATTATATAAATAAAACAGAATACTTACCGTTTAGTAGTTTGGCACAATCTCTTTTAGAGTTTAATATTAAAATAACTATAAAATCTGCAAAAAACAGTTAAATACCTTGGTATTGTAATAGACTCTCATTTGAGGTAGAATTAGCATATCAACAAAAAAATTATCTTTTAGAGTTTAATATACCTAATCTAAATTAAATTATTTATTTTTTATTTTAGGAAATCCTCAAAACTCAACAAGGCAATCTGATCTTCAGTCCTTTCTCCGCAGAAACCGTCTTAGCTCTTCTATCGGCCGGCGCAAATGGTCCCACACATGATGAACTCGTCCATGGTCTCTCCCTACCATCCTCCCAACAAAGCATCCAAAAGTCCTTCAAGGAGTTTTTGCCCAAATTGACATCTAATACTGAAGATTTGAAATTATTATCGGCCAATAAAATTTATGCGGGAAAACACGTGAAGTTGGAAAAGGCTTTTGAACAAGTTGCTGTTGATGTTTATCATTCTGGTAAATTACTAGGAGTAACCAGCGAACTTACATATAACCCTCTATAATATGTTTTTATTTTTTATTTTCAGGTGTAGAAAATATTGATTTCTCCAAAAACGTTGAAGCTGCCAATACCATTAACAAATGGGTAGAAACACAAACACACGACAAAATCAAAGACCTCATCAAATCCGATTCTGTTTCTGACGCCACCGCTTTGGTACTCGTTAATGCTCTATATTTGAGCGCTAAATGGGTAAATCCTTTCGAAGATTTTCTAACTAAACCTCAAAAATTCTACAAAAATAACAATGACCACGTTGAAGTTCCAACTATGAGCCAAATCGACTACTTCCATTACTATGACAATACTGAATTGGGTGTCAAATTTTTGGAACTCCCATACGTTGGTAAGTTGATATTACGTTCAATAATAATAATTCTGAAGCGCTCCTTGATAAATTGATGAATATGATGTTCTGATATTTGTTCGTTGTCTCGAAAGAGACTAAACAGGAAGGCCGATAACCGTGACCGGTTAACTGATTAACCGGTTCCGTAGGACCAAAAAACAGTTAAAGAACGTAACCGGTTTAAACGTACCCGGTTTAACCGTAACCGGTTTAACCGTAACCAGTTTAACCGGAACCGGTTTATAACCGTATAACCGTATTTATGTGTACCAGCCATATCAACTTCCAGTAAACGGGTGTTTTCCAGTGCAGGAAACATAGTTTCGAAAAGAAGATGCTTGCTACTGGAAAACGTTGATTAGTTGATTTTTTTGCATCAAAACTAAATATTCAAAAAAATAGGCAGTTTTGTTATTGGGTATTTGTTATTATTTCTTATTTTATGTCCCAATTAATTATAATTTATTTTTGACTGTTTTTTTTTACTTAAATATAGTTTTTGGTTTTTAGTTTTACCTACTTACCCACCCAGTGGAAGTAAGTGACTGTGTTCTTTTTTAAATTTTAAATAAAGTTTAGCAAAAGTAAAATTGGTAGTATTTCTATTATTCTAATTTAATTTGTGTTTAGTGAGTGCCTGTTTTAAAAAATCAAGCATGCACTGCTTGGTTGTCACCCACGGGTAAAGAAAGGTGAAATGGTTAGTTATTGAAAACAAAGGATTTGGTGGATGTGTTTTGCCATGATTACGCCGGTGATGGTTACAGTTAAACCAGTAACGAATAAACCACTGACGGGTTTAACTGGTCACGGTTACGGTTAAACCACCGAATCCAGTCTAACCGGTACGTTTCGACTGGCTCGGTTTGATCGGACCGGTTAACCGGATAATCTGACCGTATAATCTGACCGGCCGACCGGGTAATCGGACCGGTTAACCCTATATCCGAACCGGTTATAATAATATTAAAAATCTGCTTAAAACCGAAACCGGTCAAAATCAGTCGAACCGGTTAACCGTTTATTACGTCAGGAATTGACAGCCTTACTAAACTGTTCTCAAACTCACTGTACCAAGTCGGTTCTTAATATACTGTTATTCTCTTAATGCTCTGATAATATTTTTCCAATATTTATTTTTACAGTTGCTTTTGCTAGTCAGAAACGTTTACCAACTTCCATATAATTCTTGCGCTGTTTGAACTGAGCAAACTCCTTAAGGTAAAGGTACGCGAGATTCCAGAGTACGCACATAACTTTTAAATAGCTCTAGGTCACAAATTACGTATTAAATTTCAAATAAATCAATACAATGCTACAAATAACTGTATACTTAAGGAAAAGAATATGAAGCTAAATATTTTTCGGAAATACGGTAAGAGAAAATTAACAAAATTTTATTTAGTGTGTATGTACACAAACTAAAAGAGCGCATAGGAAATGCATATTTCATGAAACCATCGTAAATATCTTGGAACGCTGATCCAAGTCAACTTCTGGTAGATCATGGATCCGAGCATGTCTAAGTACAATCTGGACATTCCCCAAAATCTTTATGTTCAACATTTGTTACTCATATATTTTCTTAGGTACCTTTCCATGGGTGCTCGTCTTTCTGTTTGCTGTTGAACTTTCGTTTTTGATTTGTTCCCTTTTGCCTCGCTTTCTACATATCTAGTAGCAAGTTGCTTCTTACTGGTTAAAATTTCAGACCCACTATTTTGCGTATAGTTGAATTCATAACGTTATTGTCATTATTTAAAAAAATTTATCACGGTACTTACTTTACATAACTTTTAAATTATCCGCTACTTGGGAAATATATTTTAAAATTATAGTCAAACATGTTGAATATTTAAATTTATGAATATTACCAAAATAATATTTTATATAACTTACCAGATATTCAACATTTTCAACAAAAAATCAGAACACTGCTCCCCGTCTTAACTATGAAAACTGATTTGCATACTCTTAGATCGTGCGTACTCTTAGATCGTGTGTACTCTTAGATCGTACGTTTTTTTTAGATTTGCGTACGTTTAGATCGTGCGCATTCTTAGATCGTAGTTACTCTTAGACGACCTTACCCTGCTATCAGAAATTGATGTAGAAAAAAACCTTATAATTATTTAAATACAATGGCTAGTTTCGTAATAAAATTTATGCTTTCAGCTGATGGTTTGAGCATGGTAATTGCTTTGCCACACGAAAAAGAAGGTTTGACGGCTCTTGAAAAAAACGTAGAAAAACTTTTGGAACCTCAACCATTAAAACGTGAACGTGTTGACGTTAAATTGCCACAATTCACAATTGACTCAGAAATTCCATTCGTCGATATCCTTAAAGCTGTAAGTACCTACCTTTATTATACTCTTTTGAAATAATTTCAAATCCTTTTGTACTTGAATGATTGGTTATATGGTTACGAAAATAGTAAAACATAAAAATCTAATTTTAAGAGCTATTGCATTACTTACAAATATAATCGAAATGTGTAAATTTTCACTCTAGTTGCACAATCTATCCTGTTTTGTATCTTATCAATTTTTTTTTTAATTTTAGTTGGGAGTCAATAAAATATTTGGTGGCGGCGCTGACTTGTCTGGTTTGTCTTCGACCAACAAGAACTTGCTTGTGTCAGACGTTATCCAAAAGGCCTTCATCAACGTTACTGAGACAGGAACCGAAGCTGCTGCAGCAACTGCAGGTCAGTGTGTTATCCGCTTTATTAATAATATACATAAATAATATTAATTCTAAAACAAAACTGGGTATGTACAGGGTGATTCATTAAGGGTGGCGATCGAACACATCTTTGGAACCGTTTTTATGACAAAAGAAAATGGGTAACCTAAAAATACTGAAGGAACATATTTCTTTACCTTCATCCTGCATTTCTGCAGTTTTTGCTTAATCACTCTTATTTTCACACACACATTCTTCTTCAAGTTTTTCATTTTCACTTATATTTCTACGGCTATTTCCGCTTCACTATCAGATGTCTCCATATCTCTTAAGGAAATGCCTTTTCCAGCAGGCACTTTTTAAAGTAATGATTTAATCAGTTTAGATCTATAAAATATCGCAACACAATAACTTATAAACATCTCAGTAATCAACTGATAATATTTTTGTGTAAACTAATATGTCTGATGAAAATGTAATTAATATGTTAAGCAGCTGTATTATAGATTATAAGATTTATCTGAAGAAGGGTATCTTAATAATATTTATGTCTAGAAATATATACCTACCTATGGTTATGAATATAAAGACCTGTTTATTTATATACAGACTGTCCAGGAACGTGGAACACTGTATATAGCTGAATCTGACAAACTAATGAATGGATTTGGTTAAACATTGCTAAAAATAGCATTGGGATTCTCATCTTTCAATTCGACACGTGTTGAGACGACTATCTCCTTTCCACAGAATGCGATTCGTGTGTAATGTCTCTCTCTATTCAATTCGTACGTGTTGAGTACGCAGATAAGAATTCCTGTCCAGGTCTTTAAATCTAAAATATTTTGATACTTCTGTCATTTCCGCTTATAACGGAAGTAGATGTAAAATTTAATATTTTAAATGGGATGCCACTTCTTTTATTCCAGAGGGTCGTCTTGTATAATAAAGTGTTATACCTGAAATTGGTAATATTTAAATAAAAATTGTTTTCGAAAAAAAAAAAAACATTGCGGGTATTAAAATAATAATAAGTTTTTAATTGAATTATGATGAAGAAATTAGTAATTAACTATTACATGATACTAAATTATCCTTTATTATACAGGGTGAGACAAACAACATGTTTAAATTTTGATTTAACAAAATATCAATATCTTCAATTTTTGAAATGGATACAAATTTTTTTTATTATTTTATTATATTCTACGGCAAAACTAAGTAAAATTCGCTTTTATTTTTTTATACTCAATTTGAAGATCTACTTCCAGTACTGTCAAAATATCGACTGAAAACCTTAATTATTTGAATTAAATAGATTTAAAACGAGTCATAAATTGATTTGGACTATACAAGCTGTTTCTAGTATGCAGTATTCATTTTTTTATAGACCCAAAAGACCCTGTTAAGCAGGCTTGAAACTTACCAAATATGTACTATAAAGGATCAACAATTTTCAAGAGTATATCACAGAAGTATTTTTAATTTTGTATCCCGATAGTTGATAGATTCAGATTATATCTTCCGATAATTGAAAATTGTTAAATGAAGGATTTTCTGTCTAATTGTAAGTAAGGAATCATAATCTGCTGACAAAATTTAAAAAGCTGTTACACGTATTTTGTTAAGGGGCTAAAAAAACGCAACTTCTCTCTATTTTGGACTTGCCCCATTAAATTTAATTGTAGCAAATCACTAAATCGAAACCATCTAAGATATCAGATCACAGGCAAATTCCCGTTACTGTAGAATTAATGCCAGCTGAAATATTAACGCTAATTTAAATTTTGTTATATCTCTCTTAAGGTTGGCGTTCGCTCATAAAAATCTGCCATATGTGCGAGGTTGACTTTAAACGTAGCATTTGGGAAAAATATACTTTCTGTCATTAAGTTTAAATGTTGTTTCTCGATACAATATATTCCTTTATTTGAGCTCAAACTAGTTAAATGAAGTTAACTTCACAGTGATAAGGTAGTAACCGTAACACTCCATGATCTTCTGCTATTTCTTCTACACTATACTTCTTAAATTTTGGTGAATCTGGTTTACATAACTGCAATAGCTATTTTTTGAGTAATCCCTCTTTTGTCACTATTTCTTTGGTTATTAGCCAATCGGAGAGTTCGTGCTTTTTCCATTAATGTTAGGTAATGATTCCTTTAATCTTGAATGATCAGTAGCATTGTGCATAACTATTACAGAATTGCTCGGTAATAAATCTACCATTTGACTAAACTTTTTCTCAAAAACATCAGCAGTCATTTCTTCATGGTAGTGTTTCGTAGAATTTTAAATTGAAACAAGCCTCTATCAACAAATCCTTTATCTCCTCCAATATGAGTGATGATAAATAAATGACGACCTTTACCATTTAGAAATTTTAAGCCAGTGGACAAACCTTCTATAAATGCCTGACGAGCATTTGTAACCTGTTTATCTTGCCATACTTTTTTTACAAAATGTCCTTTATTTGTCCATGTTTCATCCAAATAAAAAATATTTTTATCTTTTCTTCTTAATTTTCTAATTTCCCTTAAATATTTGCCTTCTCCAACAAATAATTTCATCTTTCTCTATGAGCGCAGATTTTCTATCGTTCTTCTCCCAAACGAAGTCTAATTCATGTAAAGTTTTCCACAATTTCTATTTTTTAACGTTTGGCAAAGTTTCTTCTCCATTAAAGTCTGCTAAAAGTTTATCCAAAGTAGGTATCTTTTTTTGTAAATAAAGCGAATGCACTTTTCGTCGGATCAGTTGTTTCATAGAACCGTTTATTTGAATGGATTTTCTCCCAGTTGACGTTTTTGGTGCTACTGTAATACTTACATCTTTTCGTTGCTTCAAAAGTCTATAAATGGTTACTTCTCCAACTCTGGTCATATTTGAACACTTTAGTCAGAACAGTATGAAATGTTCATGTAATAGAGCGTCTTGTAAATTTAACAATTAAATTACACTTTAACCCTTTCGTTCACGCATTTTTAATTTTTAATATAAAAATTTGAAATTAGGAAGACATACTCTTTTATTTTTTTTTAAATTTCTTGGTGTACTCAAAATATTCTGTCACCCTTTTTATCGAATGTGATTTGTACAATATACTTTACATTGTAAGCAAACAGTATAAACCTCCGCCGTGATTCCTAGAGCTGGTAACAACTCCTCGATATGCCTACGCCAATCACCACCACCATCGGTCTGTATTTCATAGTGTAGTCGGCCATGTCGGTGCAGCACCGAGCCGAACTCCCATTTTCGCTTCGGGTTGGAGTAGGTTCTGGCTTGGACATGGTCACCTATTGAGTAGGTTCTGATGGTTGGAGGAGCGTTGTCGGGTCTAGACGTTCTTAGAGGTGATGATCGTCTGAACAATGACGTGCATCTTAGTTCTAACATCTCTTTGGAATATTAGTTCATAAAGAGTCTGACTGTTCTGGCTCGGTGTGCGCCTGAGTCTGGTCTTAAGGACAAGGAGCGTATCCGTTAAGTTACCTCTCTCGCCCTTCATCGCGCGAAGCGATTTCTTTATCGTTTGTAAATCGCTGTTGCTAGGTACACGCTAAAGGGTATGCAAATCAAAAAATTATATACACGCGAAACGTCATATTGCTGTGGTAGGAGGTGTTTGTGTGAATGCGTCTTGTTTGTTTTCATTTACGCCGTGACTAGCACAGTAGTATTTTATAAACCTTAGAAGCAAATTTCACATACATGAACAAATAATAATAATAATGCCGTGACAAAAGGAAAACGAAGTAATGACTTCTCGTAAGGTGGCTTCGCCGCCACAAAAAATTTCAATCCATACCTAGCTACGACCGGCGTAGACACCAACGGCCTGCACACAGCTCACCTACTCTGTCAAGACGTTTCGCGTGTATATAAATTTTTGAATTGCGTACAAGTTAGCGTGTACCTAGACACTGTGTTTGTAAATAGCGTTTGGCCTGGCCGTTTGTAGCAGCGTGGTACGGAGCGGACGTCACGTGCGTAACACCGCAGCTTGAAAGGTAGTTTTTAAATTCTCGTGATACAAACTGCCGTCCATTATCCGATACAATTGTGTAAGGTGTACCGAATGTGCAAAATAACTCCTTGAACTTAAGAATTCTCGTGGTAGTTTTCGTGGGAAAAACTTCTATCCATTTTATGAAAGAATCCACAATTATCAGAAGTTGATGTCCTAGGATAAGCCCAGCGAAATCTATGTGTAATCTCTGGGGTGACACAAAATTGATCGAAAAACATTTGATCGAAATGGAAATTTGATTGAAAATACATTTTATCGAATGGCATTTGATCGAAAATACATTTGATCGAATAACATTTGATTGAAGAAACGAGTATATTTTATCGAATAACATTTTATCGAAAATTGATTAGATCGAAAGGACAATATATCGAAAATCAACATTAAAAATAGTAAAATATCAAAAAATCAAACGATACCATTCAACCGTCCGGCTAATCCCTACTACCAGGGAAACTAAACTAAGCGGCTATCAAAATTAAGTACTAATGGCAAATTTTTCATAAATCTTAAATGATACCTACCTCGTTTAACAAAGTTTATCCTTACAATACTGTTAAATTAAAAATAATTCTTTTAGAGCTAAACGGTTATTTATCTTCATTAGGATTAAAGAAATGTGATTAATTCTCACAAAATATTGTTATGTAAGCCATTTCATTATTCAGCCATGCTCTAATCCTCCAAGTCCTCTCTGTCTTATTTGGCCTTTGAGGCTCAACTTGTCCGATTATCATACATAATTAAACCCCTAAGACCAAACCTATGTGACGACTATGGCGGGGGAGCTTTCGATTAATGTTCGAGAAAGGACGGGATGTTTCTAGAGTATTTGGTGAATATTCTGGCACATTCGCCAATATTTAAAATTTGTATATAAATACTGATGGAGGATGAACAAAGTTAGTTATTATATGGACAGTGAAGATAAACAGTTTAAAGACATTCGAAATATATATAAATAGAATAATAGTGTTATAAAATAAATA